GATCCTCGCACTCGTAGATCTGCCCACGAGAAACGCAGAGCTGCATTGGCCGAAGAGATCCGCAGGTTGGAGGCGGCGAATTTAGAGAAGCGATCATGGACTCTGTCTGGAGAAGCGCGAGCAGCAGATCGCCCTATGAACTCACTACTGGAAGAAGACCTTGAATTTGAGCGTGCTGGCAAGCCAGTCCCTGTTATTACTGCAGAGGTCAGCGAGGACATCGAGGAGCTTATCAAACGTCGTATCTTGGCACATGACTTTCAAGACGTCATTCGCCGGCGGCCTGACGATCTTGCAACTGGACGGGATGGCCGTAGAGGTAAATTGGATTTTGAGCTTGACGACAGTAAGAGCAAGAAGGGTTTGGCAGAGGAATATGAAGAAGAATACGCCAAGCGAACTGACCCCAACTATGTCGACGCTAAGGACGAGAAGACGAAGAAAGATGAGAGGGAAATCGAGGCGCTTTGGAAAGATGTTTCCGCCAAGCTCGATAGCTTGTGCTCATGGCACTTCAAGCCGAAAGCTGCAACGGCTAACTTCGAGATTCGTGTTGACGCGCCTACCATCACTATGGAGGATGCAAGACCAAGCGCAGGAGGCGATGTTGGCGGTGCCAGCCAGCTTGCACCTCAGGAAGTTTACAAAGCCGGCGAAAGCACGGCAAAGAATAGTAGGGAGGATGTCGTTGGCAAGTCTGGTCTGCCTTCCGGGCGTGAAGAACTCTCCAGGGATGAGAAGAAGAGGAGGCGCAGGAGAGAAAAGGAGAGAATCCGAAAGGCTGGCACGAACGAGCCAGTCAAACCGGAGAGCAAGGCTAAGCAGTCCAGAAGTGGTGTCGTTAGCGATCTCAAGAAGGGCGGTGTCAAGGTCATTGGTAAGAAGGGGCAGATGCAAGATGTTGACGGCGGCAGGGCTCAGACTGAGTCTGCCAATGGACAAGGCGCGTCGCAATATAAACTCTAGCTGTACAGCGATGTACGTATGTATCGAGTATTAGACTTGGCTTCACTGGTGCAGGTTGTTTTCTTGTATCTGCTGGTTGTACTGGCGCATGCTCCCCGGTCAGTTGATGTTCTGACTTTCTTGAGCGACAAAGGCCACATACTACGCGTGACCGCGTGATCAGTGGTCTGGCCCAACAAAGGTCAGCGAAATTCAGGTAGGTTAACGCCGCAAACAATGATCGTGTGGTTATAGCCATTCGCACAGTCTATAGCGTATGACTGTTCACGGTACCGAGGTCAGAGCACATTGGCAAGAATCACCATCGTCATCTCGTCGATTGACCGCCTCAACGATGACTCTTGCCAGATCAGTTTGGCAAGCAACAATGCTCGGCCAGCAGACGGATTTCACCAGCCCTCTGGCAAAGGAATGTCACTGTAGGAGAAGCTCGATGGGTCCAACTTAGCCGCTGGCCTAATCCCAGAGCTTTTGTGGGACTCGAAGACATCATTCCTCATCTAACCACGAATGTATCCAGGGTCCTCTCTTGAAGCTGTCACGTTCGTTTAATGACTAGTATTGCTTGTTCAACAGGTTGTAGATTTTCCAGTGATTCCTCAGGAGGATCCGGCAATATTTATGCTCCTGATTTGCGAATTGGTATTGTGAGGAAGACTTTGATTGGTCCTCACCTACAACCCCAATCTGCCAGCGACAGTGCCTATAGCCGCCGTCATGCAGGTGCTGGCCCTAGATCGGTGCATAATGACCAGATATGGGAACATCCGCTGAGCTTGGGCGTCTGCGTACGTCGTTGCCTTGCCAGCGGGAACTCCCAGGTGACCGTGTCAACGCTTTCCGTTCACTGCACAGCACAGAGCCTCACGCATCATGTACTGTAGTCCACAAATTAAGGATAACTTCCGATGTGGGATACGTGGCAAGCTAGCCCTTGCCGGCCTCCTGCATTCCATGAAGCGTCACCGTCAAGGTTGACTTCACTCTGTCGCGACGGGATGTCCAGGATTAGGATCGCCATCTGCAGACTTGGCGAAGGTAAGGTGTTCTAAAGAAACCAAACACCATACCTGATCAGGGCAGTGTTATCGCAGTATGAAATTTGCATTGCCTGGATACCCTTTCAATGCTTCACAGCTGACGGCGATCAGGCAACAAGTGTTTTCACGTGATAGGTAGATCTGCACCGCACACACCCCGCGACTGATTTCAACCGTTTCATCAATGGACTACCATCTCCACTCAGTGCAGAGCGCCAAGTTAAAGCTGTGGTGTCGCCGTGACGACTATCTCATGTGCCTGAGACTATCACTTCGTGCACCGTGAGATGAAGACGCAGTCTGCCGGACTGTCTTGAATTTGTGCGCGCGTCATGCCTCTTCTAGGAACGCGCCCCGAACACATGCCCATGCGACTCAGGAATGTCTTCCTAAAGGGCGGTCATTACCTAGTCGCTGGGCGGAAAATGTAAGAGTAGTGCGTCTGACAATTAATCATGTAGTACCGTCTCAGCGATCTCATATACCGTTTGCCTTCTCGTTGATCCTCCTAATCCCTGTTGTGTCCTCTGCATCCTTCAGCAGCTGTTCTCTACCTAGGTACACATGCTATGGCGTTGCTTCTGCTGGCACTTGCCACAGCGACGTCCCTCACCACAGCGCAGTCGGTCAAAGGATGGGGCTCTTCGGGCGGCAACGGCAAAACTGGTGGTATTGGCGATTGGAACAACCCAGTACTGAAAGCCCATGCCTTCATCACTGACCAAGTGATTCCAACCCAACCCAATACTACGAGACAATTAGCACCTGGCCGGCCACCAGTCCTCAGATTAGGTCACAACCCTGGAGTATCATCAGCACACAATCACTCTCGAAAGGTTGTGATCGATTCTGTACATGGTGCCAGACAAGAAATGATTGGCTTTGGCCATTCCTGGACCGACAGTGCCGTTCATGCTTTCAATACCTTACGACCAGATCTCCTGGACCAAGTAATGCAAGATCTTTTTGGTCAGGACGGGAACAACATGGGAATGATGCGACATACCATTGGCTCGAGTGATATGAGTGGCGAGCCGTACAGCTACGATGACAATGGACCAAGCGTAAACGAGGGTGAGCCAGATCTTGACCTCGAACATTTTGCTCTGACGAAATACGGCGATGCTATGGCAGAGATGATTGCACGGATGGGGCAGTATAAGGGTGATGTCTTTCTCTTCGGCTCACCCTGGTCGTACCCCGGCTGGACCAAAAACAATGGTCTCTTCGTAGCGCCGAATCTGAATCACGAAGGTGGAGGGACTTACATGCTCTTAAACAACTCATTCAACCCTCGCTATACGCCGCAGATGGTAAAGTACTTCTCAAAGTATGTCGATGCTTTCGAGAAACATGGCGTCACAGTCAATGGCATGACGCCTCAAAACGAACCACTCAATTACCAGGGAGGCTATCCTTGCTCATACCTGGATGCTGTTGATCAGGCAAATTTGATCTCTCAGGGTCTAGGATACGAGATGCACAAGCGAGGTGTCAAGATCATGGCGTATGATCACAATACCAATCAACCAGTCTACCCAGCTCGCGTGCTGCAAGGTGCTAATGGAGGGATGGATGCTGCAGCCTGGCATTGTTATGAAACTCCGGTAGCAAACTACTCAGTCATGGATGACTTTCATTACGCTTTCCCTGATGTGCCTCAATTCATGACTGAGTGCAGCAACTACATGCCACAGGCCGGCAACCTCAACTTGCAGGTGGCTCAAGCTTTCATCCCTCCTGTCCAGCATGGAGCTAGTGGCGCCAATATGTGGGTAATGGCAACCGATCCAGATTATGGCCCTCACGCGTTGGACGGAGGATGTGATGGATGCCTTGGTTCAATCATCGTTCATAACTCAACATCATACACTAAGACGGCAGATTACTACAACATTGGGCAGTTCAGTCGGTAGGTTTTTGATGATTTTCCATGCACGACCAATCACTAACACATCTGACTAGATTCGTCCGCCGTGGTGCAACGAATTACAAGGTCATTTCTGGCAACGAAGGGACCGCACTCGATTGGAATCAGTTCTGGATCGTTGCATTCAAAAACCCGGATAAGTCATGGGCTGTCGTCTTCCTAAACAATCTAGACCAAGACGAACATGTCCGGCTTTCTTTCACTGGCAGTGATTATATCTGGCATGGTGTCATACCCAACGCCACACTTACGACGTGGCTTATCCCTTCAGACATAAGGATCAATGGCACCCATCCTCCGGGTCAGCCTTCCCACTCTATGCCTAGTGGACCCGGTAACTATTCCGCAACAACAGGTCACCATCACAGTTGGACGGCGACACACACCACCTGGAGTAAGCATATGAGCGATCCAATCACACCTGTTCCCTATACGACGCATACGATCCACACGAGCACTTATGAAGAACCCTCATACCACCACCCGGGACCCCCAACACACCATACATGGGCCTAAAGATGTAACGACATAGCCCTTGACTTGGGGCTAATATTAAAACGAACGAACGAACGCTTGTGGCGAATAACGAATTAGGATAGAATTAGATTTTGCATTTTACGACTCAAAGTGATTGATACCAACGTCTTGCGGCATTCCCATTACTTTATCTCGCAACAGCTGTAGCATCTGATCAGTACTCGACACTGCTTGATAGACGAAAGGGGGCTCAGTCTCCAATAGCTCGTTACCTCAACTTTGGACCTTTCCTTCCCGCTATCAATCTTTTCTTGTGCTTGCTTACTACGACTACTCGATCATTGGGACCCACACCAGTTTTCCCATCAACACACTCCTGCTCTGTCCACGACGATTGAACCACCTGTAGCTGATACATGAATAATTATCTCGACGCTTCGCTCGACGTCCTGGTGAAAGAAAAGCAATGTTCAGTACACCACGCTGTACTTCGGAATGCCATGGGTCGAAGCAGCAAGATGTGCTGGAAACATACACCCAATCCTAATAACATGTAGTGGACAAGAGCAAAAAGAAAGTTGGCTATATGATTTCGTCCGGGCTCGAACCGGAGACCTCAAGTGCTCCGCCGGATACTCTCATGCTGAGAGTGGACGTGTTAGACTTGCGTGATAACCAACTACACCACGAAACCAACTGATTGATGGGTGGCAACCCAAATATTTCTTCATATATTAATTAAATTTTCCAAGAGCGGGGCAGCCATAAAGCTTGAGCTAACTGGAGAAGTTATGGACCCTGCTTGGTCGATTTGAGATGGGATGCAGTAGATCTAAGTGTCAGAATACTAGTCAGAGCGCAGCAGACGACTTGCTCGATTCAGACTGATCCTCTGGCAGCCTGATGCGACCCAAGCGCGTGATTTCTCTACACGTACTAGGAGCATATGTTGGCATTGGACCAAAAGATAGTGAGGGAATGGTAACGAGATCTGCAAGTGGATATTTAACAGACTCACATACAACAGCTGGGTTTTCACACTTTTGTTCTGTCGCTTCTGTTGTACAATATAGTTGTGAAATAAGCTACTGCTGTTTAGGTCCTTTGTTGGGAAGTCTTTTCGACCACGGGCATCAAGGCTTGAGTCAAGTCTGCTCAGTGACACTATCACTGTTGTTGTAACATCGTTGTGATCTCTGCATTCGCTGCTTGGTAATTACTGTTGTACGTCGCTATTTGGTAGTTGTTGTCCCTTCATATGCCGGGTGTTTGCAAGATTCGACTTTATCCTTAAAGTATGAGAGTGCCGCGGGCCATAACATTTCTCGTATCCTTCTACAACCTGTGTAGCTCCTCGGCTTCTGCCCATCGCTCCTGATCGAAATATAAGGCAGCAAGGTTATTCATGCTGGTCAGTGTAGATGGATGATCAGGCCCTAGCTTCGCCTTACTCATCTCCATCACCTTCACCTCTAGCTGCTCTGCATCCTGCCACCGTCCTTGGTTCCAGTA